GAAATCATTCAGCGATGGTACCTGGTACCCTCCAGGTTTAAACTTAACTATAATAACTTGACAATTGTCTACCTATCAGTTACAATACAAGAACAACTGAGTATTAAAGGTATGTAAAGTTTGTTATAAGTAATTGTTTCTTACTTTGGGCACAATTTTTATTTCGGTAACTTTTCTGCTATCTGACGGTCCGACTTTTCTCAATTTAAAATGTTTTGCTTCGTCGGAGGCGGCCTGTCGACGTAGACGAAAAAAATAAATAGATTTATATCAAAATAACGAAAAGTAATAAATTATTAAGTCTGAGTAAAACGTTTAGCAGCGGTTTGCAAGACGCAAAAGTGCAACAGACGCGATTTTTTTTTTTAAGTGCAGCAATCAAATGAAACGCATCGCAAAAATATGCATTTATATTTAAAATTATATACCGCGATCGGTGGTTGGTCATTGATGCCGGTGGAAGCGACAGTTGCAGTCTTATCTTTGGTTCTCCACGGCACAGTAGCCTTCGGCACCGGGTTGAGTCCATCTTTCACCCACGGAGGACGAAACCTCTGATTGTTGTCGCCGGACATTCAAAACTTTTAACAGTACAATATTGTATAGATATCAAACGCAATATTAATACCGATGGACGATAGTGGTAATAAATAGCGATTCAACCGTTCGGAAAAAAATAATAATAAGCAACTAAATAAATATATTTGTATTTATTACATTTTACTAGACTATAGCTGGAAAGAAAATTCGTTAAAAACGCAGAAAATCAGAACGAATGGCAGTGGCGAACTGGACGGCATAAAAATAGAATTTATTATTATGGTGTGGGAAGATATTTCACACTGTTTGGCGACATTCCATATCAAACACTCGGAGTAAATATATATATTTATATATATCATATATAATAATATACAGAATGAGTGACGAAGAGAGGGGCTAAGATACGAAGAAAAAAAACTTGTACACATCTCAATGAAACTCAAGAAAACACCAATTAAACAGCATCATCAAAAATATAAATATAATACTATATTTTAAATATAAATGTAACACATATTTATTTTTATTACTTTCATTAATTTTCACAATAACATTTACCTAAAAAGTATTTATAATTTCATAATTAATCTTTACATTTATATTATAACTTAAACACGATTATTATTTGCAGAGAATATTTGAAACAATGTCTTGCTGATTGCTGGCCCAACAGTTTTGATTGGTGTACCATAGGATATATTTGCCAATAAAAGTGGATTACCTGATCTTCTAAACGCATTTATAAGTAATTTTGGACTAGGATATWGCTCAACAATTGCAAATGCTTTATGAACAGACAATCCTCGGATCTGAAGTAATTGTCGAATCAGCATATCTCGTACAGTCATGTTCTATAAAATTAATTAATAGTACATTACAGACAATAAAAAATTATTTCATACTAAATTAATATACCTTATTTTTTGCAGAACCTGACGAAAAAGTTTTAAAAGATATCAGTTTTACTATATTTAAAGAGTTTCCATAACCAGAATCTACTTCATCAATATGAGTTGTAAGTGTTTTGTCCTGTGAATATTTAAAAAAATATCTATTAACTTCAAATATACATTGATTTATATGGAAAGATTAAGATAGTTATACCTTGAACATATTTGTAAGTATATTAGAGAAGTTGGCAATATATTTCATAGATTCTAAATGATTTTCTGTTCTTACAATTGTAAATCCATCTATAACCTCTGTGTTTGCCAATGCTTGTTCTAAATGAGATATTGGTAAACCATGATATTTTTTTTCATTCTCGACTAAATAGATTTTGTTTTCAAGTCCACATTGTTTTAATCTAAACTATTAAAATTAAGTTWACAAACTTAATCTAAAATGTTATTGTTTCATAAAAATGCATTTACTTTCTGCTCGTGAAAACGGCCATCTTGAATACTACCTGATAGATCATCTAAACGTTTTCTTTCTAAGATATATGGTAACATAAGTTCTCTACCACTTTTGTCATGACAAATCCAAGCAAAATCTCCGACACTCAACCGTCTCATTTCGAAAGTCACATTTAAAGATGATAATTCTGAGATGACTTTGTCCATGTTGTTTTTTCTATTATAAAAAAATTTCCAACAATGAAGTATAAAGTTTCTAAAATATACACAATATACATACCGTAAACTACTTGATTCGCCTGTATCAATGAGCAACATGACAGTAAATTCATTTGGCCACAAAACAATCTTTTCTTTTTCTATAATGGTAGGATTGCTTTTCTATTTAAAATAAAAAATTAAAGCATAAGCAATACATTTTTGAACTAGTAAAAATCTATCCATCTATCAATGAAAAAAAATCATTAATCTCTAAAACAAGAATTGATTATAGCAATTTATTATTTTTTTTTTTTTAAATTTATAATCTATCAGTATTCTAAAAATGCAGTGTTTAATTTAATGGAGGGATTCTGTTGTTTCTACCTAAAAGTTTTATATTTTATACTTACAGGCAAATCATCGTGAATCAAAGAAATGATTGAATTCTGATTATGGTTACTTGTTGAGGGTTGTAAGACATTGACAAGATTTGTATTTTTAGAAATGTCAGCCGTAATACCTTCATCTACAATATATCATTTAAATCTGTTAATATTAACATGTTATGTAGACAAAATAATTTAGTAATAAAATATATTTATTTAGATACCTGAACCTGAAGATATTTTATTATGTTGTTCAAGCTGTTTGTCTAATCTGGCACATAATTTAGGACCAAAAAATTTTAAAATTAAACATTCTTTACCACTCTTAAATGGCAATGGACATTTTCGTAATGAACTCAATGCCTATAATAATATGCAAGTCATTTAAAATTGATAAAATAATTATTGTACAGAGGTACAACAAGAGGTATATTATGTAATGGTATGGTACATATATTTATATAATTTCTTTTGATTTTAGAACAAATAGACAAAATAATATTTGTTAATTGTATAATTAAAAAATATTAATAATTTAATTTTAAAATTAAACAGTMCCCTTAGTTAGTACTCAATTTGTTTAATGGTATGAGTAGATGTGTACATATAAAATAAATATATATATAACATTTAAAGAAATTGTTATATAAAATACATAAATGTGGATTTCCATAGCATAAATTTGAAAAACTAGATAACTTACACGTTGATAGCCATGACGGACTTCCAGACCTTTTTCAGTAGCTTCTTTTAACCATTCTGAAATCCATTGTTCAAACAACGGATTTGGTGTTTTACGGGTTTTACTTTTAGTTGCCCTATGTGACATTTTAAACTATTGCAATTCATAAGCGGGAAAATTTAATTTAAACTGAAATTTTGTTAGAATAAATAAACAATAATCACTATATTAAACATTAATGTGAAATAATGCGGTCACGTATTTTTCTAAAATACGAAAAGATTATATAAGAAATTAAGAAAACATTTGGACAAATACCGCAATTTTCTAGTGAAAAATTCAAAAATGTAATTAGGAGATACAACTCTGATCATTGGTCTAATAGTTGTCTTATTATCTAAATAAACTTGATAAATCTGTATCTTAAATCGTGGTGATAACCGCCACGACAATACGGTGTAACCAACCGTAATTCCATGACAAATTTGTCATGCGTAATAATTCCATATTACTCTGAAGGGCATCAGCAAAATGTTCACCAAATATTTTTAGACATGAATTTATGTGTATATTTTATGGGAAACTTTAGCTTGCGCTTGCCTATGCTTATTAAATTATTTTACTTACGGTTTTATTATAAAAAATAAACAATTTTTAATTTAATGTATTTTACATCGTATTTTTTTTTAATAATCTTCGTATTCAAATCTAATAGTAATATAAGAATATAATAAATAGTGTAATTATTTAGATTTATTATAGATAGGTAGTATTGTTTGTTTTTAGAATTTTCGAACATAATTTGTTTATATCCGTAATATATAATAATACATGTATTTATGTACTATATCTACTAATATGTATAAGATATGCATTGATTTTTGGGATATAGTATATTATACTTTATACAATTGATTATAAATACTAAATACTAATAATATTATAAGTAATCTTATTAATGCCTAATGGTTGCACCTWGGTGGCTAGATACGTGGATAGTTGGCTATGTAGACTTCTTATATAACTTTCATGTTTATAATGAATAGCTACATTTGGTATAGGTAGTTACAAATTGACAATTGTCTCCAAACTCCGCTCAAATACTCGACACTCGACTCGAGTAGGTATACGTTATTATATTATTCAGAAAATGAAGAAAATGTTATCTAATCTTCAATAGACTCTGTTTATAATATTCATCATAAATAATAGAAATAATATAATATATTACCTACCCAGTACCCACTAAATTACATTTAATTAATTAACAATTATGAATCTACATCACACTCATCAATTAAAACATTGAATAGCTGATAGTCATAATCAGTGATTAATGTAAAGTAGCTGCAGTGTAAAATTATGTAATTTTTTTTTTATCTTTTTTGATGTGGAAGGTATTTATTCAGTTATTCTTCGATCAAAAACAGTGCACCACAATAGGTAACGTTTTTAGTGGTCTATACTAAAATTATTACTTTATGCTTACCATATGCGGCAATGTGTTAGAAACCCCTAACAAATAAATTTTTATCGATATTAATTTTTAAAAAACTAATGATGATCGAAAATTGCAAATACCTATGAATAGTTCAACTTAAGTCGAAAATTTTTGAAAATTGCATGGTGG